CCCTGCCCCCTTGAATGGAGTTTTTCCAAACAAAAGTTCATAGAGAAAGATCCCGAATGTCCACCAATCCACAGCACTGCCATGGCCTTCACCTTTAATAATTTCAGGCGCCAAGTACTCGTGTGTTCCCACAAAGGACATTGATCTAGCACTCGTGGGTTCTGCAATTAGCTCAGGGAGAGGGCTCACTTGATTGTGTATATCATTCTTCACTTTGCTCTTTTTATCTTTCTTGGGCTTGCCTGATAAAAAGCGAGGAGCAAAACATGTCGGTGTAATGCAATCTGGTTGCATTACACAAGTTGGTTCAATGCATGCAGGCTGAACGCAGTATGCAGATTTCTTTGTCTCCAAGGTTGAGTTTGAAAATCTCACAAGGGTGGGCGAAACAGCACATCTTAAAGAAAGGTCAAAATCTGAAAGCATTATATGTCCATCTTCCCTCACCAAAACATTCTCTGGTTTGAGGTCTCTGTAAATGATCCCGAGCATATGCAAATACTCCAAAGCAAGGAGAACTTCAGCCACATAAAACCTGGAAAAACAAATGGGTGACTAAGGAGCTATAATTATTCTTAATAGCATGTTCTCATCTCTGGCAATTTGGCAAATAAACATGTGTAAACTCGATGTTCTTCTTTTTATAGTTTTGCTCCTCTCTTTCTTTAAAGGGTTTCTAGTTCTGCTTCTCTCTTTTCTCTAAAGGCTATTATTGAAATATGATTCCTCTTGTAACCTAAACTGAACTGTGTATGTGTGTGGCGTAAATTGAACGTGACTCAGTGAGGGAGGGAGGAGGGAGGGAGAGTTCTACATCCAGACATACAGACCATAAGTCTTACAAAGACAACCCTAACCATTACTGAAACCGCAAAATTCCATTAATAACCTAAACGACACCGAAAGAAATGTCTCACAAGTTACAGCTGGGAGCCACATAAAAGTATGTTTCGAAATGGGGAAGCATACAATAGTTGATAGTTTGCAGAATATTGTAAGCATGGGTTCAAGTTTACCTAGTTTTTACCACCAAATGTTTTCCTTGGCTATGGCCGACTGTTTAATCAATAATATCTGTTTGCTCCTTAATTTTCTTTCTTACTCATAGACGAAATAAGGTAATTAGGTGGTTCACTATATGTAGTCATTAGACCAAAGAGTAAACTGAAAGTAGAAGTCGAAAGCAATATCTAACCTGGCAGCATGCTCTGGAAAATGCTTCCCAGGTTGTTTTTGCCTGAGTGCATGCAGATCACCCCCAGGGCAAAACTCCATCACCAAGCAAGAGAACTTATCTGTCTCAAAGTGTGTATACAATGTGGGCAGAAAAGGATGATCCAGAGATTGCAGTATCTCTCTTTCTGTCTGAGCCCTAAGAAGCTTTTTCCTACTTGCCAGTGCTGCTTTATCCATAACCTTCATGGCAAAATAAGTTTTAGTGCCGGCCAGTTCAGATAAATAAACACTACCTATATCTCCACATCCCAGTCTTCTCAACAACTTGAAATGATTAATACCCAGCATCCCATCATGAGATCGGACAGCTTGCATTGCTTCCCATCTTGTATCATTTGCCTTGTGGGGCTTGTACATGGAATTACTCAAACTACTGGAGCTGCTCTCGTCACTAACATCACTGCCAGTACTGCCTCTATAGATGCTGTTCTTGCTGCTCTCAATAAGCTCACAGGAATTAGTAACTTCACCACTTTCACCAGACTTCTCAATGCTGCTTGTACATTCGCTGACTTCTGTGTTGGTGAAACTCTGTTTGGCTTCACAATATAGAGAGGCAGAATACAAACTGTTCTGAGGGCTTGCACAAAAGGTTGCTGCTGGGTGAGAAATTAAGTTGCTATTTTTCTGCCCAGAAACTCCTTTACATGGACCTAAAACATGATTTCTAGATTCCAGAAATCTACTTGAATCACTACTGTCAACAGGATTCTTCATGCTTGATTTTGCTTCTAGTACAGAAACCTTGTTCAAATAAGAAGTTTCGGGTGGTTTGTGAAGAACATCATTTGGGCCTCCATGTTCAAGTTTTCCTCCGTTTGAACTGTTGTAATGCTTTCCCATATTGAGAAACTCTTCCTGCTGCATGGTATTAGCTGTCTTGTTGGGATTCTTTTGATTAATTACAGAACCATTTGGATAGCCAACTGTCTTCAAGCCATAAGTATGAGCAGTCACACAGGATGGGGACAAAACCCCTTCACTTCTAGATTGTTTTGGAGATGGAGGCTGCGAAGAACGAGGAGTACCAGTTGTGGAAGGAGGGTTGTTGCCTACATCTGGTGCAGAATGACAAGTCTTTGATAAAGAATCACCCCCATCAGCCAGTGACTCCATAGCTTTCACACTGCCACTGCAAATTCCAACTGAGCACAGAGATTATAAGAGATGCAATTTCCAATGTAATCTCTCTACTAAATGCATTAATTACAGAATCTTCAACTGAAATGTCTTCCTAGAATCAAAATAAAGTAACAAAAGAGTAGGGAAAGAAACTGCGTTTTAGGAAAATTTTGAAATACAGAATGCAAATTCAAACAAAACATAATTCGCAAAATCTGCACAGACAATATACAATTAAAGAAAATCCCATGAGGAGAAAACAAGATATTATCTACAGCTGAACCGAAATTCAAGATGCGAGCCTTAATTCACAATCTAATGAATGCCAGAAGCCAACGACTTATGGAATAATCAATGGCACCACGAAAAGGGAAAAAATTACATTTCTTTAACAAGTTTCTCAATAACCCAAACGCCCTTTTTGGTGGCACAGAAATATTCGACGATAAAGAAAAAAAAACTGATTATTTGACAAAACCTTCAACACAAATTTCTCTTCATTTGGGAGCCAAGAAAGCCAAATTCTCCACTGATTGGAGCCCAATACAGCTGAACACCAAACCCAAGTTCTAATTTTGATTCTTTGCAAACCAAACCAAACCTGACTTTATTTTTCTTTTTTCTTTCCCTACAGTTTTTCCGCACCCAGACAGAACGACAACTCAAAAGAACCTCAAAGTAAAGCACCAAAGAAGCAAAGAAAGCTTAAGAATACCTGATCAGAGGGGAGAGAAAGCAGAGGAGAGCAAGCAATCTTGCATGGCTGGTGGGTACAATGACAGAGAGAGACCCAAACACCTCACAGAGAAAGTGAAATAACTTTGAGGGTCTGCTCTGTATCTTTTGGGTTTCACTGAAGAGCTTCAGATCCGATCGAAACAAGAAAGCAAGAGGTTGAAACAACAAGGACCCGAAGAAAAATAGTAATAAATTTATGATTTTTATATGGGGAGGGAAAAAGTTGTAGTTTCTCTGTTGGTTTTTCGTCGTGGTATGGATGGGAGACGGGATTAGACAGAAAACGAAGCCAACTTCACAAGCAAAGCAGAGATTAAAAGCCGTCTTTGTCTTTGGATGGTTCTCTCTGTTCTCTAATGAGAAAGAAGATTAAAAAAAATATATAAGAAAGAAATAAAGAAATGCTCTCTCTTCTTGCTCTGCTTTTCTTGTTCTTGTTTTTGTAAAAATCACTTTTGAGTGGGTACTACTATGAGACTGTTTATCATAGCTTATGGGGCACCTCCCTTTCTGATTTTTGGGTGCCCCCTTTTATTTCTGAAATAAACCTTCAGTATTTTCTTTTTATCTGAATATAAACGTAGGCTTATATTCTCTTATTAGAAAATTAAATCGTTCTCTGTTTGCAGACGTGATTTAGACTAGTTAATAAAAACCGATCTATTACAACTAAATATGAATTCAGATTTTAAATGCATGAACATTATGGTTGTGATTTCTTAAAGTCTGAGGATTTGATCTTCTAGAGAAAACACCATAATATCAAGTGGTAGTCTCACCGTCTCACGACCAAACCAATAAAAAACAAAGGTAAGCTTTGAATATTCCTCAACATTGTCGCATTTTTCAAGCATCAAGCATTCTTTCACCTGAAATATTATATATATTTTTATATCAATGGAATCTAATCTAAGAGCGAAAAGATCCGTCAATTTCTAAATTGATGGGTTTTTATATCACCACCTGTCGTGGTGTAAGTCAAATCACATGCAGAATGCAATTGGACAATCCCGTCAACACAACCAAAATATTTCTCATTGGCCAGAAGAACACCAAAATTCAGGGAGCGCATCGAGGACTTTTAATTTTCTTTCGACATTAATTTACGTGTCAATTTTTCGATGATAATGAAATTATATTAGTCGTAATCACATGGGGCTTAAGTAAACCGCGCACCAATTTCATTAACTTCTTTCGCGGGAAGCAGGAGGGGGGGGTCACATGCGCACACGTGAACATCGCCAGAAGCACGTGGACGGCTGTCATGCCCGTCGCATGAAACTACGGTACGCCTGCGGTGAAGCAAATGGAGGGCATACTCGTCTTTTCAGACAGGGCGCCCGTTATCAATTCCATGTTACGAACTTCGGGCATGTGGGTCCAGAATGCAACGCCGCTGGGTCCCACTATTCTTGCACATGGGGGCTTTGGTGGGTCCGGCGCCGGGTCTGGTGTATGTAGTGCAGACGGTAAGCACAAAAGGAGGGCAAATACGGTAGTTGAGTAGTCTTTCATGATGGTGACCGCATACACGTAACATGCTTTGCTATCAAGTGGGTCCCAGAAACCCACTTCCTTCCTAGTCCTCAAAATTTGATTCCTATCAGGCATCAGACGGTTATAAATGGCTCCCGAACATGACGGATGCTGTGAGTTTTTGCACCTTAAACTCTAGTGGTGCCAACGGACACGTGTAATCATTAGGGGGAGTTCAGACAACGTCCACACTAGTGGGGACCACTGTCACCAATCACCTAAACAAAAGTTCTTGCTTTAAACCAATCATTTTCGGTGTTGCTGTGCCGTGCCTCCGCAGGCTAGACTTTCTCCATTTCCTCCGAAAAAAGAAAAAAAAGATGAAGAAAAACGTAGTGGTTATACAAACTAGAAGCACCGAACAATCCTGGAAACAAACAATCATAGCATCTATCTCCATTGCAATAATAATACAGACCCTCTGCTTTTGCTTTTCTTTTTCTTTTTCTCCTTCACTGTACATGGACAAACTAGCAAGTTGGCACAGCGATGTGATAAGGAAACTAAAGAACACCACATTCGCTTCATTTTGTTTTGAGATTGTGTGTGCAGTGATTGAGTGGAACTAATAACATAAAAGAAAATGTCATGATTGTTCTAGTAAATTTTCCAAGTACAAATTTAAGATATATCTCGCCGTGGACAAAACATCAAGCCTCTTCTCACTAGGTTCGTACTTCCCCTTCCGAAGCTGGTACCTATGAGTTACAGCTGAGATTGTGTAAGTTTGGCCTTCTATTGTCACACTCTCCCCACATTGTAGGTTCTGCAGCATGGAAGGTTCAATAAGAATACATACACAAGGAAAAGAAAAGAAAAGAAAAATAGATACCCCAGCAGTAAATTACACTAATCATATAGCTATAGGGCCTACTTGGATCCCCATGAATGAACAAACAGAGTAATATAGACAACATGACAGACATAATTCCACTAATCATACCAGGACTATTAATTCCCATAAATGAACCTACAGAGTAATACTGACAACATGACAGACATAAACAATCAGTTTGGGTGTACATAAAGTTTGAGAGAAGTGTTAGAAGTTCAAGTTTCATAGAGGGTGTGATCATTTGCTAGCCAAAATACAAAGATCCAACATTTGATCCCATATCTGAATCATCTCTCATGCCAGTACAAATCTCCGAATAATATAAAATAGCGCTTAGACATTTAAGAAACTAAAATTATGCAAAGACCTTAGATATACGAGATGATCCAAGCCAAGGTCAAATAATTTCCTCAAAATCTCTTCATCCTAACCCTACATGTCAAGCTCTGTTTATTTATTTTACCATCTTCCTCTTTGAGATGACCCAAGCCAAGGTCACATATCCCAACAGAAACATGCTCCTATTTCTTTCATTTCCTTCGGAGGCAGCTGGTTGATGGCTAGTCAAAAGGATATGAGATGGAGACCTGAATACAGCAGAGTTGCAGCATTTTCTCCTTGGGGCACCTTACAATGTTGAGATGTCAGATATATCCTTCAAACATTATTTTTCTGAGTGTGTGAAATGTATTGCTTATCTGTCAATACATATTAAAACGGGTCTCACAGCCTTTAGTATGGTTTTGCCTTTTTTCTCAGGCGCAGTGATGCTTATCAGACAAAAGATAGCAAAAGTGGGATGTATTGGGGTTCAGTCTCCTCCGAAACCTAAAAAGAGCTTCAGTTTGTGATTTCCCCAAAAGTTTTGCCTACACCAATCCATGGGAATATGTGATGATGCCACCCCTAAGCAAAATGTATCCAGTTAACAACTCTTTCAAAGTTTCAAGACATCGATCAAGCAGCTGCCTGCTAGGCAATTCGTGGCGTTCTTATTATAATCTCCAGATTTTTACACTCTAAAAACTTCCTTCTAAAGTTAATACTTAGTCACACCCTAATCCACATCATTCATACTTAGTCATCACAATAATTGAGTTTAAACAGCTCATCATAACATACCATACAAACTTATCTCAAACATCATGGATCAGAACCTGAATATAATACAATAACACAATAACCAAGAGCAATATAGTTCAGTCAGTTCCAATGCAGCACATGCCTATTCCCCGCTAAACAGACATTCCTAGATTCAGATCAGAACGATCCCTAAAATTATTCGTGGGATTTCTTTGCCACAAGGCTGCACATATCCCAATCTGTCTAAGAAAGGGAAACACTTGAGCCTCTCAATTTAATAGTTTTTTGTTTTTTTTTTCCTTATCCAGCTATGCAATCCCTTAAACAAAAACTTAAAAAAACAATTGGTAGAATAAAATTCAACATATCGTAATCTCAATTTGGGAAGCCAGCAACAGTGAGAAGCACAATTTGGGTAGGCTTAAACCCAAAATCATGATATTTACAAGTGGATTATGAATGTTAATGAGCAAATGATGAGCATAAATAGAGAAATGGGTACAAGATGTAGGGACTTACGGAGGGAAAGCATCGAACGCCAAGGTTCTTGGGCGGAGGCGTTATTTCGATTACTTTGTAAGGGTGATGGTTATCTCTGTTCCTCTCTTTCTTTCTGCAAGAGACTTGAAGTAGCTAGAAAAAAAAATTAAAAAAAAGGAAATGGGAACGGAAAATGGAGATTAGCTAATCTTACATAAATAAATAGAAAAATAAAATCCATGAATTGGTGTGTATCTATCTCTCTGTGTACCTTTGGGTGTGGACCCACGCCCAGGTTCCAGGACACCATGGCCATTCTCTCTCGAGCTCTCTGTGGCTGATACTTGAGAGGCAGACCAGCTCGGAGAAAGGGAAATAATGCCAGAAAAAAAATAGTTCCGATTTTTGTTGGGGGGGGTTAATTTCTCAGGCGCCACTGAATTATCAACTTATTTCAATCGGACACCACAATTTTTGTACCTCTTTTAACAGAAAAGTGAGAAAATGCTATTTCACCACTTTTGACTTTGAACGTTTACAAACACTTTTGACTTCGAACGTCTACAAAGATTTTCCCAATACTGATTGTATCATGGGAAAGTTAATAAAAAACTAAATGTAATAGAAACACTAAGGCCCATTTGGAATGTTTATGTAGGAATACTTCTGTTTATAAGCGTTTTTTCAGATGTGCTTCTATTACAAGGGCGTAATTTGTTTTTTCATTGAATATCCAAGTGCTTATTATGTAAGAGCACTTCTTTTCATAAGCACTTTTTTGGAAGTGCGTAATTTTATTAAATATCTAACTACTTTCCTAAGAAACGATTTCTGAGAAAACACATAGCAAGTGCTTCTTCATAAAGCACTTTTGTAACCCAAAAACACTTATAAATTTTTCTGCCAAAGGCTATCAAAAGTGCTTTTAGTTGTTACGAAACATTTTTGGCCCCTTCAGAAGTACTCCAAACAGCCCCTAAAGTACATACATTACATAAACCCAAATCAATACGTATAAGCGTGCTTGGAAACCATAAGAAGAAATTCGTGTCATCTGGCGCATGTGAGATTTTTTATTTATTTTTAAACCATAAACAACACTTTTCTGTTTCTTGCCAGGGAAAAAGGGCAAGAAAGATAGAACGATGTGAACTTACTTCCCAACCAAAAAGTAGCAAACCAGTTGAGAATTTTTAAGATAATCTCCAAAGGATGAGGTCAAGGAATCATTACCATAAATGGTAGGGTGATCCTACAAAAAGAAGAAGAAATATCTTCGGAGAACGAGTCTAATGCAAACATCTGCACAATGTGCAGCCTGTTACTGATAATCGGCAGATAAATAAGAAAGAACCAGGTCCCTTTGATCTCGTAGTCTTGGTACAGAAAAGGGTAAAATGGAAATTGATCCTTCAAAGAAATAAAAAGAATTAAACTAAGGTAAATATGGAACATCTTTGACACAAAAATAAAAGAAACTGGAAACATAAGCCAGTAGAGTAGACTTGAAGCCAAGAGCTACAAACAACACCTTTGCGTTTGGCTGCAAGACTTCTTTAGTCCTAAAATACAACAAACCTTCTACCTCCCATATGGATGATATCGACCACTACCTGCACCACCATATCCCCCTCTACTACCATAAAAGGAAGCTCCACTACCACCTCCGTAGCCACCTCCAAAACCTGCATCATAACCACTCCCGTAACCACCACCAGCTGCACCACCAGCACTTCCATATCCCCCATAACTCTCGCCAGCTCCACCATAACCGCCTCCTAGATCATAACCTCTGCTATAGGCTCCTCCATAACGGCCCGAGTATCCTATGGATGATTCTCCCCTATAAGCCCCTATACCGCCACCACCACCACCGCCTCCGTATACTCCATAGCCGCCAAATTCACTGCCACCATATCCTCCATATGCACTACCTCCCCTACCACCATAGGCCGCAGTTGACCTATAACCACCAGCAGCGCCATAACCGCCACCTCCAAATCCCCCATAGCTATCTCCATACCCACCACCATATGCAGGCCGAGAATCGCTGTAACGTTTTGATGGGGCTGCAGGTAGGTTTGGCTTCTTTGGCTCTGCCTTTTTAATCTCCACCTACAAGAAATGAGAGATGAAAATCTAAATCATCAAGCCTCTTGATTGATCAAAGATGCATCTAGTAAAAACATAATTGGATCCATAGATTTCTTCCACAACTGCATGTTCACCGCAACCGTAGAGTACATGTAAACTATTTTCCTGTGCACAATAAATTCCACCTCAGTTTTGTTTGTTCAAGCATTTGTATATGGTTCCTTATTCCATCACTTTAAAAATAAATAAAGCAACAGGAACTTTCAGTAATCTACAGGTACTATACTGAACTAAGCAACGAACTAGCGCAACCCATAATGGAACTATTATTCAACATCCACCAGCTGAAGAAAAAAAATAAAAAAGCCAACTGGAATTATAATTTTATCATGAGGTCTTGCAAGCAGCACATATGAAGGGAGCAAAAACTCAATTGCCAACGTGAGAACAACAACACATGCAATAAACATGAAATCTTGATAATCAAGATACTGAGCTGGGCCCCCGTGAATGACACCAGTACTTGACATTAAAGAGGATATGTAGAACATCAACGCAAAATTTGACAAACACCAAAATGCTAACTACAACCAATACAATAGCTAATGCACATAATAACTATTTCAGGATCCGCACCGTGTAAGGCAATTATAAAGCATATACGGGCACAGAGAAATGCAAGCATAGGCTATATTCAGTACATAGCTCACCTGAGCTCCAGCGAACTCAAGCTTGTTCCCCTTGTCCAAGAGTTCGTCAACTGATTGCTCTGTGTCAAAGGTAATAAATCCAAAGCCACGGGAGCGACCGGTGGAGTGGTCTCGCATAATCTGATGCTCCTTGACCTCTCCAAACTGTGAAAAGAAGTCACTAAACTCATCTGCCCATTTACAAACAATAAATAAGTACCTCAACAACTATATAATGAAAGAAAAACCAAAAACTGAAAAGAAAAAAGATCACCTTCATTAACGGTTGTTGGAATTCCACCCACGAAAATCTTCTTAGTCTTGAAATCCTTAGACCCCATTGCTCCCCTCGGTATTGTGCGCTTGATTTCCACCTACAAATTAGAAAAATCAAAGACCATAAAGCAGGTTGATATGACATAGAAAATATTAAAAAGAAAGTATGCAACTCAAGATTGTGAGCGAATAAAAGTAAAAAAAGCTTACTTGTTTGCCATTGATAACATGAGTTTCGTCAATGACTTTATCAACGACAGAGGGGTCTGCATAGGTCACAAAACCGAACCCACGGGGCTGCCCCGTTTTCCGGTCCTTCATTATCACCGAATCTATAATTTCACCGTATTTGCCGAAATGCTTTATAAATTGCGCTGCATTACCACAAAAAATTTACAATCAGAAACCCTAATAATTAGAAAAACACTGCAATTAGCTCAGAAAAAAAAAGGAAGAAAAAGAAAACCCTACCTGTAGTTGTCTCTCTGGCCAAACCCCCTATAAAGATTTTCCTACGGAATTACAGAAAAAATAACTAGCTGAGATTCGTTTTTGTCTTGGTTTTGCCCAAATTTTCTGAGGAACCAAACGGGGGCTAAAAGTGGAGGAGAGGAGAAAGAGAGATTACCCAGGACTGGCTCCGTCGCCAGTATGAGGTTGAGACTTGTAGTCTTCATCCTCCGCCTCATCTCTGTGGTCTGACCTGTTAATGTCGTGAGCTTCACCGTCAAGGTTGGCATCGTTAGTCTGCGAATCCATGGATTTCGAATTTTGACTCAAAGTATACACAGAGAGCTCCTCCAAAGAAGAAGAAGAAGAAGAAGAAGAAGTTAGTTAGCCCTAGACACAAGACCGAGACCGAAAGGACCAAACTCAAGTGTATTCTGTTCAGTATTTGGTGCCGAGGCTCTTAAACCCTCTCACGGCATTTGAGTTTAAGATATATTGCGATTGTAAAGTGTTTTCCTTTTTTTTTTTCGTCTTGTTAAAAAAGGGGCCCTGCTTTTTTAGTATTTTATTTTTGCTACAAGTAATAGTCTAATTATTTTAAATTAATTAACAAAACTTCAACAAATACCAGTTTTTTTTCTTTTCTTTTCTTTTTCCAACTCAATGTTACGTAAAAGCGATGGGATAAGATATATTGCGATTGTAAAGTGTTTTCCTTTTTTTTTTTCGTCTTGTTAAAAAAGGGGCCCTGCTTTTTTAGTATTTTATTTTTGCTACAAGTAATAGTCTAATTATTTTAAATTAATTAACAAAACTTCAACAAATACCAGTTTTTTTTCTTTTCTTTTTCCAACTCAATGTTACGTAAAAGCGATGGGAAAAAAATGTAAAAAGAAAATTGCACAAAAAATTTAGAAAAATAGTTTATCTGTTTAACCACTCCAATTTCTTCTTCGGGTGAAGGGGCGTGCCTTTTCAGAGAACATCACAGCATGATCTTAAGATTTAAACTTAAAATCCATTACTTTTCCACTTTTAGAGATACAGAGTATAAATACATTAACTTCCCCAAACGTACATGAAATACACCAAAATTTGGACAAGAATGCCTCTGGCTCTCAGCAGAGTCAGCAGCACTTGCATTTTCATGAGCTCCGTACATCATTCTGAGAGACCGAGTGTCCTATCTAACTTGTTAATGACAGTCTAAGAAACTAGAAAGTATTCTGTGGATTAACCCTCCTCCGAGGCTCTCGCCTGTAGTTAGGGGTTTCGTCTATTGTTCTCCTTACATAATCTATGAAAGGCTGAGGTGTTCGGGGAGATTCACTCCCGATAGCTGGGCTGCTACGTGCAGGTGTGACTGGGGCTGCAATACTTGGAGTAGCAGGAACATTAATAGATGTTTGGGGAGATCTACCCAGTCTGTCCAAATAACATATGGAGACAACCACTGTCAAAATCAATAGAGCAAGACATCCAAGCACCGTTGTCCAAAGGGTATAATTAATGGTAGTTTCAGATGCTGTTCTTTCTCCGGGGTCACAGCTAACGTCGATTTCCACACTCTGACCTGCATACGAGACATAAATTTGTATAACCTCGTTCCAAGAATACTTAAAGATCCACCTTTTCTCCTAGAGTGTAGTAAGATCAAGAATTAGGGAAAAAAAAGATTCACCATTGACTGGGAGTGTGATGAAAATTGTATCTGTGAATCTTTTGGCTCCCAGCATTTTCACCTAAAATGGACAAGTACCATAATCCGTGAAAGATATCAAAATCAACATACGGAAATGAAATTAAACTGTTGTGCTAAGCATTGTTGTACTTCCTATTCAGTCAGTAGATTGCTGCACAATAGAAGGATAAATAGGATTTGTAACCATGGAATCGCTTGTATTACTTTTAATATTTTCAAAAACTAACTTTTACTCTCCTTCCAAAAGGAAAAGTTTTACCAATAAT